TCTTTGATTTATTACTTTATCTCTAATTTCATTTTATCAGATGTTACTACGTTAATAGATTTAATCTTATTTTACATAAAATAGTTTGAATAATATTTATCATTGAACAAATCTTGCAAATAATGCGCGATTATTAATGTGTTACCTTTTTGCACTAAGAAAAAGTTAACATATTTGGGGTATTGAAATACTAAATAGGCAATAAAATATTTTTTTTATATCAAGCTTTTTAGGAGTTAAGTGCTGATCAGTCACAAGTATCGAGTAGTTTAAAATTAAGAAAAAAAAGTTGGGGTCAGTTATGTTAATTTTTGAAATATTGGTCAAAATATGTGATTTTCAGGCAAAAAATGGTGTAAATTTTATCTTGACTTCTTTAATATATCTTCATTTCTTGGCAAAGTTTGTTGAGGGAAGGTGTAAAACTTGTTCTAAAAATATAAATTAAGACCTATATTAAATATTCCTGCAATATTATAACGGAAAATATTCTCCGGGTAAAAGTTTGTGAGGCTAAAGTTTCAAGACATTAGATTTAATAAATGTGCAGATTTGCAGAAATTTCTGCTGAATATCCTTTCACCACAAGAAATAGTCCCTCATAAATCTTGCTTTTTGTATATTTTTAAGCAGTTTTTTCGATGAATGTTAAAAAATTTACATTGTTGAATATAAATATTTGAGAAAAATTGAATTTTAATTAATATTTTTTAAGTAAGAGGTTCTGCGTGAACTTTTCTAAAAAGCTGACGAGTGACATACCTTAATGCTTTAAATCTGTTCCTTGGTATTCATCAAACATTTATGATGAGCAACAACTTGGTGTCTTGTTTTTAAAATTGTGAAATGTGTGGCCCCAGGGTAAGGGGTTCCCGTCGGTCAAATGATTCAATCGAATACCTGTAGAACAGGTATTCCATAAAAACAATGGCCAATCAAATTGACGGTCTGCATAAACACCGAGTACGCACGTGTTCGACCGATACATGTGTTATGCTAACTCCAATAAACATGATAAAATCATAATTATGAACAATTTCGTTGCAATGCGTGTTTTACAAAAGCGGGGACTCTCTCTATATATTTTTTTCTTATTCAAAAACTCTTTAATTTAGCGAACTTATGTTGTTTGTAGCGTTAAGTGGGTTGCCCTAAAACATTACGAAGAATATTTCTTTCTCGCTTCTAAAGAAATGGGCGTGTCGTTATGTTATAATTGACGGTCAAAGAATGACTCAAAACGTTTCATCCAAATGGAAAATTTTACCACTTTAATGCGCTTCATTTTATGACCTCTGGAAGAATACAGACCAAATGAATATTGTTGGAAAATTGGTACATGATACTCAGATGACTTATAAGGCCCATGGCCCTCTTGTTTCCTTTAGAATTAAAATCAAGCAAGAAAAATTCGTATAAATATATATTACTTCACAAAAAATAGTGGAAATAAAGCTTAGTTGTTGCCTTTTTAGAAGAAATTTTTTCTTGTCTAAGATCAAAACAAAATTTGCTTTGTGTATATCAAATTGTGAAAACTTTCTAATGAGAAATCATTGCATATTTGATCTTGATATAGTACGGTACATTTACGTTTATATTGAAATTTTGCTTGAGTCAAGTTGACACGTGTATTCTTAACGCATTTGTGAATAACGCGCATTAAGACTAGAAAGTATATTACTTTTGCATGATAACCCGCATGCACATATTTAGCTTGAATGATATTAATCTAGAGCTTTGAGATAGGATAACGCAAATAAAATTCCATCGCTATCGTAAATATCGATAACAAGAATCTAAAAATTGAGCTGTTATCTCCCGAAAGAATCTAGTCAGTTATATATTCTACACTTATTGATATTTCTTAGAGCGAGAAAATCCTGCCTATATATATTTTTGACTCTTACGACTTTTTCTTAACCTGTCAAGGATTTTTCGGGTAAGTTGTAAATTATCTTCCTGCCGCAGTCCTCCATATACTTCCAGGAACTATTTTATTCTCTTTTTCAAAATAGAAAGTTATGAAAATTGTTACAGAAAATTAACATATTAAATTGATGGAAAATGTGTGTTTTCAGATCTCATGAGGTACCACATCTAAAAGAACCCTTCTCCACCATGAGTATTCAGGTTTGCCCAATGGACAAACTAAAGGAGCATTTTAATTTATTTTCTCATACCCATAGCAGCGATGAGCTTTACACAATTATTGCTGGGAGTCTTACATCAACACATATGACAGCAAGCAAATGCCGTGAAATTGTCGCAGAATTTGAGGAGAAACATTTGTTTTATTTCAGTTTATTCAAGCCAAAAGTTGATAATGGTTCAAAAACCTGGATGACAAGAGTAAAAGAAGATATTAGAAACGTTAAGCGAAGTGGGTTTGGCCCAACATTGCGAAATAATCAACACAAACATATTTTTGCTGTTCGAAGGAAAAGATAGACAATTAAAGGGTGGCAAATTCAGCCTGTAATTCGAGAAAACGAAACTAAAAAACAACCGCTTATATTGCTTTTGATAACACATACAGAGGAACCTTGCTTCCAACGCATAGAAGGAAATGCACATTTAGATGGATTAGATATTGAAACAATCAACGCAAAGCATACCGAATGTCTTGATAAAAGATTTCGAAATGATTTCAAAGATATTCAGAAAAACTTCATGCTTCGTAGAGAAGACAATTATGCCTCTACAATAGAACCGACAGGAGAGCAAGGCAAACCAAAAACAAACGTATTTTCTCTATGTAGCCAAATCATTTATGGAAACAAGGATTATGCCCAAGCTGTCAAGGAATTTATAAAAATGCATATGGAGGAGGAAGATTTTCGGGAAGTTTACATGCATTTTGTTGACGTCAAATCTTATGTCACAGAAAAAGAGTACAATGCTATGGAAAATATTTCTGATTCGGGCAAAAAAGAAAAAATCCGCGCAGAATTAATCAAAAAGGCTTTTGAAGAGCATTTAAATAAGTGGCAGTCTTTTACCCTTGAAGAATTTTTCGCGGTTGCAAGTGTCTACAACATAGAGGTCTTTGTAATGCCTGTTCAAACGGAAAGAGCTCCTTCAGAAAATGATACAAAGGGGACTAAGTTTTTCCTCCCTCTTTGCGGAAGTTATTTGTTTCCATTTAAGACGCCATTTGTTTTCCAAAAATGTTATGACGAATCATATAAAGCAATCTTGGTTGAACAGGAATGTCTTTGTCTCTCAAGTAAACCAGAAGTGTTTGGCAACTTCCCAATTATGAATGATGAGATTGATCTAAGGAGAGTAAAGAAACGTGGTAAGTACACTCTACTTACATGTATAAATTTGTGCTTGTATGATTGATTGTATGTTGTTTTACATCCCATTAAAGAATTTTTCACTGATGCAGTGTATAAGAGACGTCACTATATGTTGATGGAGGGCTTCAAATCATTTAGACATCACCAGGCTATCATTCATGGCAACTGGGCAGAGGGTTCCGTACTGTCACAGTTCTAACTCAGACAAAAACCTCGATTTACATGGTCTCATTTAAAATATTCAAAGTTTTACTTCAATTGCATGGCGATTGGCAAAAGACAAATAAAGACTTAACTTTACATTTCAAATTTATGCGGTGTGAAAAAGGAGAACCAAACCCAATTTAATATTTTTTACTGTTCAATTCGGCTAATTTGTATTTTATGGGATCTGCTTAAGCGTGCTCTCTCTCTCTCTATCTCTCTCTCTCTCTCTCTCTCTCTCTCTCTCTCTCTCTCTCGTAAAGTACAAATTAAAGGTTATGCAAGTAACAAGTAACATCAATCATGACGTTTATAAGTTAAAACTCTTCTTTGTCCTTTAAATGTATAAGTACTAGTTGGATTTTTTGTATTGTACATTTTACTGAGCGCAATATCTGTTTTATAGATATCAAATCGTGTTGTCCAAACCTTGGTAGACATGGCCGCCGCCACAGACATTTTCAACATCTTTGGAATAATGATGAACCAGAAGAAAGATCGATGATGCAAGAAAGCAGAATTATTAAATATTGTAATCCGATGAATAGGCATATAGAAATAATTCATGAAATAATGGCTGGAGAAGGAAAAACTTTAGATGCTATAAAGGGAGGGAAAGGCAGTCTTCAAATGTGCATAAGTAAGGAAATATTTGACGACGAAGATGCAAGGATACCTGTCAGGTATTAGTTTTATGTCCTTTTTTCTTTAAAAAAAATATTTAATAAGCAAACTGGTTAAATTGGGCAACAAATATGCAATGCGTATAAACATGTCAAGATCATTGCTTTGCATTATCTTCTTAATCTACAGTCTTCCAGTTAATGATGTACAGAAATCATTTGAGACCGTTGCCGACTGGACAGGAATTCCTGTGTATGTGTTTTCATATTCTGAAAAAGTTTTTCAATGGGTATCGATTTCTCCGAAGAAATGCAACCCAAAAAGAAGTTCCAATTGCCGATATTACATGACCATACTACATAATCGACAGAGTGGGTATTTCGATAGAATTGTTCCAAAAATTGGTGTAATTGTCTTCAGGTTCACCCATATGTTGCATCGTTGCAGAGCGGTGAGCAATTGTCATATATAATCGTGAAATACTGGAGTAGTTTAGAAAATAATCAAGGATTTTTTCTGTTAACCTAGTTAAAACTAAAAAACATTTATTTACCAACCATATTTCATTGAATGTAATTTATTTATATACATGTATATTTTTTTTTATAAATAGAATTAATCAAAGTGGATAAATGCACGCGTACGGTGCCGTCAAAAAGTACGTGGCATTGGTCACTTCTGACATTTCTGTCAGAGAAACCCAAAGATGAAACGTTTACTGATGATACACTTCAAGAAATGAGAGTTATATCAATGTACTCCGAGGTTCATCTTATTATGGAAAGAAAGGATATGCAAGATCGTCTGCTAGATAAAATGTCTGATTATGCTTTATCTCTTTATCGGTGCATCAGCAAAGAAATATTTGGAAACGAAAAGCAATTTAAAATGATAATGATGGAAACAGTGCGGGAGATAAAGGAAAATCCACATATTTATGGACATTTGCTAATGACTAAAAAAGAAAATTCTGATTCCAATTTTTTAGAAAATTTTAGATATCGGAAGCATCGAATATTTGATTTTCTCCGATCTCAAAACAAACTGGTCGAAGAGAGTGCACGATTTTTTGCTGAGCGCATCGATGACGGAATGAATTTGGGTGATTTAGAATTGTTTGTAGTTGCAACTCTTTTCCAAGTTCCAATTTATGTGCTCGTTGCTGAAATAAATGAAAACAAATTGGAAACAAAATGGCTATCATTTACACAGATATCAAGAAAAAGGCAACCCAGTGATTTTGCTGCCAGAATGCAATATTTTGAAGGTAAAGAAAATCACAAATGTGATTTTGACTCGTCGAGTGGTGGATCTAAATACTATGTGACTCTTTACCGGACATTTTCAGGAGATTATCATAGAATTGTACCAAAGCATCAAGTGTGCAACTGTCTGAAAGAACCACCCCAAAATATCGTGGAAGAACATAAGCATCATGAACAACCAGGTGACTATCTTAACTGAAGCACTCTAACTTATTTAGTAATTATCATTAACGCTTAGAGATTAAACTAGTAATCATATGTTATAAAATGCATCTTGACGTCTCCTTTTTATCTAATTTCATCTTTTTGTTTTTTCTTCAAATTTTTATATATATCTTCATCTTTTTCCTTCAAATTTTCTTAATTCGCATGAAATAGTTTTTTTTCATTTAATATCTGTATCAATGGCCTTTTTTTCTTTTCAGATTTCAGAATGTACTTTGAAATGCACAATATAAAAAAAAATTGACGATAGCAAAACTGAAGCTGGACAACTGGTTGAGATGCAACATGGCACTTGAAATATTTTCCACTGAAATCATAGACGTATTAGAGGGGCATAGACAAAACGTGAACACTTCCAGCATCGTGAGATCCTCCGTAGGACTCGTTGGATCAGCTTTAGCAATTGGGGGATTAATAGCAGCATCATTCACAGCAGGAGTTTCTCTTGGTTTAGCAGTTGCAGGTGGCGTTATTGGTACACTTGGTAGTGCAACTGTCATGGGAACCAAAGTCACTGAGTTCGTTTTAAGTAGGGATGCAATACCAATGCTAGAGAGATATCAGATGAATTTGCGAGAAAGATCACGATGTATGGAAAACTCTTTATCAGATCTCCAAAAAGAGATGGAAAGGTTTATAACGGAAGACACAGACATCATCAACACAACAGCTGTTCAAACAGCTACTGGGGCACTGCGCATGCTGGGTGGTTTACCAATTATCATTGTACGCGTGATCGTACGGGCAGTCACCCTTGCCGATGCAGTTTTGCCTCCATTGTCAATAATCCTTGATTTGGGCATACTTGGACATAGCATCTATAATCTGAAAAGGGGGTAAAAAACAAACGTCACTGAACGTTTACGCAAAGTCTGATCCGTTCTAAGAACAACGAGAATTCAGATGTTTACCTGGGGATACGGAAATCAGAAAAACTACATGGAAACCATGAACAGTTTAAAGTTCAACATGTTCAAGGAGACATAGTTTGTTAAATATGTTTGGTTGAGGAAAGACATAGTTTGCTAAATATGTTTGGTTGAGGAAATTTTATTTTTATTATTTTTTTATGCAACAAGTACCAGTATACAATTATGAACTGTTCATGTGGGGACACCACTGATTATAAAGTCTGAATAATGGTTCACCAGAAGGCAATTGAAAAGTTTACAAGAGTTTTATTATCCTGAAGAATTGAGATTTATAAAATGAGCACAAAATATCAAGTCTCTTTGCTCTCCTATCCACTGCTTTTAAGCTGTTAGTAATGTAAACAGAAAACTTTAATGGAAACGTTAAAAAAAAATACTGATCCCGCAAATATGTCAATACTTTATTATCCCATATACATTTTATTCTTTATTCAAATCTCGTCAGCACAGTACAATGTCACTCTTGCACGAGAATTATTAACATGTATTATCTCATCGTCACTACGTCTGTTATCTATGAGACATTAAACATGTAATGTATACATCATCGAGGGAGTCAGCAAGATTCCAGTTCCCTAAAAGGAAGTTCATTTCCCGAGGCATAGCCAGATGAATATATAAAGTCAGTAAAGGATACAGTCGTGGTTGCTATATAGAAATGGTGTATGCCTACATGTATATACAAGTCTTGTTCACCTTTAGTTGAGCTGCATTATGAGTATTCATGACTTTATTTGGAACGTATTCGGTTCCTTTGGTATGATTAAATGAAATTGCTTTAAAATGTTCCGAATAAGTATGTATTAGTTCCTCGAACTGATGCACCCTTTTAATTTGCAGGATGACTTTTAACGATGATTTTCAGAGAATTGCCAAAATATATAGATATACTCCTAAATAGTGGAAAATCACATGAGGTACAACAAAACAAATTTTCTCATCGCATGTGACATTCTTTATACCAGTCAGACTATAACTCCGAAACATAAAAATATGGAGTACATAATCTTGTTTAGATCAAGCATGTCTGGATTTCAGTTTCTACATATAATGATTTATCGAGTGCTTATATCTCCTAAAAAGGTAACATCATTCATCGTCCAGACTGTTTGCTTGCGCTCGCATAGAGTTAATCTTAGGTATTACTATAGTATACAGGACAAAATCATCAAATGCATCATAATACCTTGACATGGTTTAAATGCCAGCACGAAAGTAATTCAGTATATTTTCTGTTCGATTACATGGCATAGTTCACAATTTCATGATTATGTTTTCTAAACAAATGTAGCTAACAAAAATCTGCTCAATAGCTATTGAAAGACCCTGAATTAAAAATGATGTTTAAATTTTTGAGTACAATGATCATACATCTTTTTCAGCATTTATTTTTATATTACTAAGTGAAATATTTTCAGTGCATACATGTGCCAAAAAGGCAAATTGTTTTTATTTTCATCCAAATTTTGTTGCGAGACATTGAATTTAATGTATGTTTGATGTACGTGGTTTTTCAATTCATTCAATTGAATTTAATTATCGAAAATTCATGAGAACAAGAACTAGGACGCATTGGCGCAATTATATGCAAGAGCGAAGTGTTCTATTTCATGTGTCTTATGAATTTTCAAAATTTAAAAACATTTTTTATATTTACATATTTTTCTGATGACTCGCAACATATTCATGACATTTTATTTATTGATCATTTATGAAAAAAAATCCCATTTATCTTCTTCACAATGGAAGTATTCAAACTCGTCCTACAGAAACTCACGTGAATGTGGACTTTTTTCTCAAATTTCAAAAAGAATCTAAGCAAACATATTTAGAAATGTATGTAAATACCGTATAAGTGGAAATTTTAGAGAGACACAATTTTAGCGATTTGTCCTTTAAATAGGGTATTCTAATTTTAGCGAGAAGTAATTTAAGCTATTTATATAGTGCTCACCAAAGCATCTATTTCAAATTAAAGACAGATTTTTAGCGGTATTTCATTTTAACGATTTGAGAACCTTCGCTAATAATGCAAAAATTAAATCCTCGCTTAAAAATCTGCTTCTACAGTATAAAAAGTTAATCTTAAACCATTATATTTAATGCGCCATGCAGAATATTTTTTTAAATTACTCTATATCATAAAACTTCTAAAGTAAAAACAGAATTCAAAATATATTCAAATAATACTTTTGATTTAAACATTGCAATAAAGATAAACCTTGATCATGTCTATGTTACTGTAGCACACATTCATGAAAATAAAAATTGATTCAATAAATAGTCGTCATTTACAATTATTTTGGAGTTTGCAAGTAGAAAGAAGTATTTGCAGGATATTATATTACCGAATTCAAGGTGAAAAAAAACTAAAGTAAAACAATAATTTATATATTGGATATATAAGATGCATGTGCATCAGAATTTACTTTAAACACCATGCATAACCACACATATGGGGGCGCGGAATGGTGACATCTGGGGGTGCGGAATTCAAAGCGGAATTTGCAATTTTCGTTGACCTGATTAGCTTTCCTACAGTGATTGAGATGAAAATAATCCTTAATTCACTTGCGGCGGAATACAGTGATATTCCGACTTACTGTTACTTGTTTACCAGCTCGGGACTCGTCCTAGAAATACGTGAACACTTCTGCAATATCTGTCAAGAGCATGCGGGTACGCAAATTTGACCGGTTTTTTTTTGTGAAAATTGGTGCCTTTTATATCACTCAGCTTCATTTGAATTATGTGAGGGAATACAAGATATGTTTTTGTTCCAGACACTCTAATGTTTCGGAGAATTCCACCTCAAATAAAGGGGGCAGACTTCAAAATAAGTGTGTGGCACTCGGGGGTAAAGTTTTTAGTGGATGCTTGGGGAAGGAATAATTTTAAGTCATTGTTCATTAATCATAATTCTTAAAATCTGCTCTGTTTTAATTGTTTAGATCCTGGTATATGAATTTAAATTGGAACAGTCTATTTTAAATGATTCGACAAATAGCGCTTTGTAGCAAAGATTTTACCACAATGATCAATCAGATTTTGATTAATGACACATTTTATGCTTGTTTGAAATTTGATTTTGTTGACCAAATCTTTCCACAGATTTCACAGGGAAACCGTGCGTACTTTCAACTTCTTCAAGAAAAATACTATTGAACAACTAATTTACCTCTTCTCACATAATCCGTCCAAATGCGCTATTTGGATGTCGCAAGCACTTTAAATTACATTAATATAAAAATAGTAGTAGTAAATTTTGTAGTATTTGGTTTGTGATACGTCTATAGTTACCAAGCCAACAGAGTAAAATGTTAATACACAGGTTAAAACCTCCATGGGATCCAAGTATATAGTCTAAAAAGTGGCTTTTCAGTCTGTCGCTCAGGCAAAGGTCAATGTTTAGACCACTGAATAAAACACAGCAATTATATTTTATGTTAAAAGTTATGACTTTTGCATGTAATAATGCATAAATATACTGAATTTTCGCACTTTAAAATATATGTCTACAGTGAAATTAAAAAAAAATGTAAAATAACTATGTCGTAAAATTTGTGTAATTTACGTTATCAAATTATTATTACTTTTTTGAATAGCATAAAAGGGTATCTAAAAACATAAAATATCTTCTAGAATATCCAACAAAGTCCATAAAATGCAACCAGAATCAAAGAAAAGCTTTATGACAGAATACTTACAAAAACACATTGGTCTTGTAACCAGAGGTGTGTGGTTCGTTTTAAGGATGTATTTTACGTTATCAACAATACTTAAAGAATACGAGTATAACTGTCTTTGCATATTAATTCATTTATTCTTCCTGACGTACCAAACACGTAAAACGTCAAAACGAGTATTGATCTGTGCGAGTACACATTTTACACCAATAAAACTGATAAAAAGTAATTTACGTTATGTAATTTACGTTATCAGTAGAAAACATACATCGTACATATCTTGCAAATAAGATGTCGGATCAATACGGAACCATGCAGGAAACGTTATTGGTTTTCTCTCAAGAGCATCTAAACATCACCGAACTTCCGATGTAGATCTGATGTAGAAAGTGCCATCAGATAACGTAAATTACATGTTACCTTTAACAACTTTCAAATATTTCTTTATTGATTCGTCAAGAATGCAATTTTTGCCTGAATTTTAATTGTTTTTAAAAACAATGTGTTCTTCTTTTTATTTGAAGCAATAGTTCACCCATAAATCTCTGTTCATTGTTGACTTTCTGAAGCAAAACTTTAATAACGTAAATTACAGTAATGATAACGTAAATTAAATATACTTTAAATGCCTTTCTCTGTAATTATATTTCATAAAATTTGTTTAACAGAGATGGTAAAGTCAAAAGAAGAAATTTAAAAAGCATATAGGGAGTAAAAGAAGATAAAATAGGTAGAGACTTAACTAGAAAAATAAAAGAAAAAATAAATTTGACAGCAGATCTTACGTTATCATTATATCCAACTGTGAATCTCTGAAAAAGATGAACAATAATCAGTATTTGTGGCAATTTATGGGTGTATGATGTTATGGGTCAGAATTACCCTAAATGCCAGCAAAGATCAATAACACAATTTAAACTTAACAATAATTTATTTACAGTATTATATAATAAGTATATGAAACATAAAGTACAAACTTAGCAAGAATCTAAAAATACATACATCAGAGTGTCCGTTGCTGCACACAATGTCCCAGTGAAAATATATCCCATTTATATCTCAATAGTGCTCATACGACAAAGTATCCACAATTATTGTATTTGCATTGAATTGACAGGGTATTTATACAGTATTATAAATCTAGAATATTCTAGAAATTGTTAAAACATGATATTACTGGAACAATCTGGACATATACAAAATTTAAGAATGTTCTAGATAA